ACACTTCCAAGGAGATACAAGTCAGAGGCACAAGACCACAAAGAGAAACTAAACAACTCTAAAAAGCCACAAAGAGACTTTAAAAGACTCGAGACAGAATATCGCCTCAAAACAAAAAATCTCCCAAAGGCCAAAGATGCAAAATTACCAGAGACATAAACTGAGCACAAAGACAGAAACAGAACTTTGGTGTCTTGTTGCTTAAATCCAGGTAAAAGAAAAACTCAAGGATGGATCAGTCAAAACAACAACAACAACAAAGTACTCGACCACATTATATTATAAATCTGATATTAAAACTACAGGATTCTGTGAAGCTCAGAAAATCCCCAACAACACATTTACCTTTATATTGACACTCACACAAACTGCACTGTGGGACACTGCAGGTTTTAGTGTTAAAGGCCAAGTCTGGGCTGAGTCCCTCTGCTCAGGTGTGTGTGATGTGAGTTGTTCTGTTGTGTGTGTTGTGTGTGTTGTGTGTGTGTGTGTGTGTGTGTGTGTGTGTGTGTGTGTGAGAGAGACATTCCTCTGTGGGAGATGACCAAGTCCCTTCAACCTCAGTCATGTGATCACTGCACGCACAGCTATGCAGAGGGAGAATCACGCTGCCACAAAAGCTGCAGTTTTACATGGTGGCATGTTTACACGTCCAAAAGTCAAACATTAAGTGTGATGAAGTGACAGCAGCCACTACTCTGTTTATATAAAAAGCTCATGTAATCCAATTACTGATCTACTGTATTGTTCAGGTGTCACTACCTGCAGCTTCATCTGTAAGCGCACCAACAGGTCAGCGTATTGAAATCGTTTCATTGAACCTGATCTGACCTGGATTCACTGCCAGCTTTCTTTTAAGGGACAGGTGATGTTAAGAGGTAATCTCAGACTTACCCAAATATTGATTAGACAAACAGTTAATAGAACTTAATTACATCAGCAGAGGCTGTGCAAACACTGATACTGCATATCGCTCCAAGTCTGCAAAGTTAGTCCACTAATAGCCTCAAATTCTCCCTTTATCCTCCATGTCTGGGTCTTTCAACTCCATCAGCTTGAGCTGAGTAACAGAGTATTTTCCCCAGCCTGATCATCAAGGGAAAAAGAGCACAAATAAAAAGTCTCCATGCCGTTTTATTCCCAGGGATTTACGCTCTTGTTTTTGTCACAAAGTGAAGTCTTAGTCGGAAGATTTGAGAAGAGCTGCCATCGCCTCCCTTTATTGTGAGAGGATGAGAAAATAATCTTTGTTTTGTGTCGCACAAACAGCTGCGTTCCCAGGAGAGCAAACACGCCGCAGATAATCAACAGTTTCCTGGATTTTTGTTTTTTAAAAGCTGTGAATGGAAAAAGGATCCAGACACCTTTAAGAGAGACTGCAGATGACCAAACAACAGATGCAGTCGAGTGCACACAAGGAAATCCTCTCTGAGTAACCCCCCCAGCAATGAAATGGTCACTGCAGCCCCCCCCCCCC